AACCCATGCAGTAGAATAGAGTCAGTTCTTGCATACAAATCCCAACATTGGGTAGTTGGTTTGTCGGGTGTGATGTCGGTGGCACCCTTATGGAACTGTTCCAAGTTTGAGGTGTTTGTTGTTGTTGTTGTTCTCACATTAGCTCGNTTGGTTTGTCGGGTGTGATGTCGGTGGCACCCTTATGGAACTGTTCCAAGTTTGAGGTGTTTGTTGTTGTTGTTGTTCTCACATTAGCTCGATAGTCCACAAAAATGGGGAGCCCGTGGTCTCAAAACCCGGCACGTACGACGCCGCGGGGAAACAAAACAAAAATAGGGTTCTTTTTCTTCACATTCAACTCGTGTCAGTTACTAATCCCAAAATCTAGCAAAGACTCGGTTCGTGGTCACAAAAGTACTAGAGCCATCAGAAGATCTAAAGCACGCACACACTATTAGCAAGAAAAGGGTACACAAGCCCGAGGAGGTACACCGACAATCCCCGCAGCACGTTTGCGTGTGTGTTCACAACTGAACTACACGCCCACACACTACAATTCGACTACAGCAGCAGCATCACCCCCCTTGTCTCGCATTGAACCAAAGTGAATGTTTGTCGACTACAATGTACTGCTGTCTGAAGTGCTGAATGAACAATAATAATGCCTGGTGCATTTTACTCAAGCTCGGGGCATGCAGGTGCTGCCTGAAGTGCTGTCAGAATGAGTCCGTGGACATACAATGAGGAAGAACACCCAACCAAAGCCATCATTGCAATTGACACCCACCCGAATCTATCCAAATCATCTGTGTTAGGCACAGCAGTGTAAACATCGACACTGACTAGGAATCGTTCCACATTGAAAGGGTCTTCCACGATGCAGGTACACAATTAAGGCACCCGGGTTATCCGCGCCATCTCTGCCGCGTCTCCCTACAAAACCAGTGACGGCATCACACACACACCCAACACCTATATTCAGGAAAAAAACGGAAAATATTTGACAACACAAGAGATGTTTGTCCGTGCGCCACGGTTCACGACCAAACTCCACCCGCTCCGCTTTGTACACGCTCTCGTTGCTGTCCTTCCCAGTCGGTTCCTCGCTTTCTCCCTCGTTGCACTTAGGGTTCTTGGTCTGATAGTTCTCGCGCCGAAGGGTCAACCAGCCCAATCAGCTCGTCACCACCTGTCCCCTCTACCTTTGATGGCAAAACCAGGTTACTAACAGTACAGCTCCCTCAAGCAAACCTAGGGCCGTGTACGGAGTGCCCGTCCACCTTTCTGATGACGTCGGCCTCCGCGCACAAAGATGATATGGGCATTGCTGCTTACACCGACGGCCTGGAGGGCGGCGCATCTGCACCTTTATACCTGACGCACCAGTGCCGACCCAACTCCACCACTACGCACGCCTCGCGGCGGGTGCGCCGCAGCAAGAAGGTATCGGTCCCTTGAGGGTGAGTCTAGCCCTGCTCGCTAGAAAGATCCCCCTCCCCGGTGTTTGCCATCGGGGTTGGGTTTTCGTCGCTTGGAAACGACGTTGTTGTAAAACAATCCAATTCACTTCGTGAACTCGGCAACCAGGTTACCGTTTTTTAGGAGTTTTTTCCGCGCGCGAAGCGCGCGTGCGAAAATGAAAACGGACGCGATAGCGGAGTGTTTTTTTCGCAAAAAAAAACTGTTTTCGATGGGTCCTTTTGTTTCCCCGCCTGGGTTCTGCGCACGTTGAATAACACCGCCTGTCAGCCCGACCCCTGAATTAATTACTGGTCTCAAATTGATGTCCATGTGTGTGTGTGCTTTTATTATTAGCATCGACCGCGCTAACCGGCTGACCAATGAAAAGACGTCAGTCTCAGTGCGGCGGGAAACACAAAATGTTTCTATAGTCCACTATCTGGGACCCCGGGACCGAGCGTCGTAGGGGGAGCTACGCTATTCTCAGGATTAAAGACAGATACCGTAGTAATAACAGAAGAAAACTGCACGTGTCTACTAAGACTGTCACCCTGCACTCGACTTCGTTTAGGAGTGCTCTCTCTATCATTCTTCTTGCTTTCACCACTACTACCATCACTATTCTCATCGTCATTTTGGCAGCAACTTTTTGGCAGCTCTTCTTCTTGTCTGTCTCTCCGTCTTTTGTTGTGCGGGAGGTCCTCTGGCTCGAAGCTCTTGCTCTCTTCCACGCCATGATTCCCTTCTCGACTGCTGTCTTGGTTTCTGTCTTGTCCTCCTCTTGTTCCCTCTGTGTGTGTGTGTGCGTGTCACA